TCATTAAAGAGAGAGAGAGAGAGAGAGAGAGAGAGAGGGAAGTGTCTCCATTCGCTGATGTTTTCTCTGAAAATGTCCTTGAAGTAAGAATTATTAACATTGTTACGGCAAAACGTAAGAGTCTTTAAATATCACCTGTCTTTATGTTGTCATTAGAGAGCTATTAGCGCGGTTAGAGCGTTATTAAGAATATAGGTCTTTCCCTTTTTAGTAGCGGTTCACACGATCTTCTCACCTGTAAAGGCGCAACACCTAACTTAGTGACTTTCTAGTATTTACTGTGTTAATAATTTCAGATTTTATTCGTCCCCACGAAATAATAATTCCAATAATTTTTCAATATTGTCGGAAAGAGAAATATAAGAAGAAAAGGAAAATGAGAAAAAAACTATCGTAACAGAAGAAGCAAAAGGGTTGACGAGGCATGGCCCTTGTTCGACGAGTTTAGCCCACCCAAGTGACGACCGGTGTTTTTAAGATCGTCTAACTTTCCGCAATGCGGTACGACGCGGAACGTTACGCACAAAGATGCCATGGATCTCTATCTATATGAACTTAACGCGTGGCTTCTTCCATGACAGTTTCTACCTTTACAATAGTGCTAATGCATGATTTTCTTCGAGAGTGGGCAGTGGCGTAGCCAAAGGCGTTATGCCAATGCCGACAGTTACGATCGAATTGTAAATCCGTTTGCTCGTAAACGCTGCTCACGTATATGAATGTAACTCTATATATGTATGTACGTATATGTATATATATATATATGTGTGTATGCGCGTGTATGTATACGTATGTATGTATGTACCTACCGACGTACGGCATTTATATATCATTGCAGTTTTTTTCTTTTTGTTTTTTTTTTTTTTTATTTCTTTTCATCTTATGCATCCGCTTTTCTACTTGAAAATATGTAATAAAATATACAGAAATTCTAATTATTGACAATGGACTTAAGAAATCCATCTTTCTTTGTTTCTATTGTTATGGATTTTTTTTTTTTTTTGGTATGGGATACTGTGACGTGTGTTTATGTGTGTGTGAGAGAGAGAGAGAGAGAGAGAGAGAGAGAGAGAGACAGAGAAAAATAATAATGAGATAAATGAAAATAAAAAAAAAAAGATTTCTAATTATCAGATTATAATTGAAAATATATTTAATAATGAAACTTCTTTTTCCATAGAATGTTATTTTTATCGATGAACATAAATGATGTCTAATATAATGATAAATATATAAAATAAATGGGATATGGGGGATGGGGGTGAACCGAGGTTAGAACAAACGAGGTAGATATAATATGAAAGAAAAAGAAAAAAGAACAAAGTACAGAAAATAAAAAACTCATTAGATATAACATAGATATTAATGTAATATCTAATAGTTAATTTTGCATTAAGATAATAGATTCTCAATTACCGTAAAATTTTGACGCAGTTAAGCGAATAAACTTGGATTCATTAGTCACCGATGTGTTAATTAGTTTCAGATTACTCTTCTTTGATTATAATGATGAATAGATATATCCTAGAGATTATTATCTTTTCATTTGGTATATAATAACGAAGTATAGAATATCGTATTGAAAGATCACGACTGTTGATTTTGTCATGATATATATATATATATATATATATATATATATATATATATATAAAAGTAATAAAAAATACTTAATTGAAGCGTTAATTAATATGTCCAATATTCTTTTTGAAATCGTGACGGTGTATACAGGATCGAAGAAAAGTTCTTGGACTTTGTAATCTTAGAATCTGAAAAAAAAAGAAATAGAAAAGAGGAAAAAAAAACAAAAGATAATTAGTTGAAAAAATATCGAAAGGAAATAATTGATTTTTAATGTCGCTTGAAATCTATCGATCGAAACTTTCACAATTTTACATTTCAATCGATTTTATGCATTTAAATGTATTTCGAAATTAATGATATTCTTTAATAAAATGTATCTCTATATGTGTATACGTGCGTGTCTATGTGTGTGTATATTTATATGACGCCTTTCGATATGTAGATATTCTGGAATTTATTACTTTTGAAAAGAAAAAAAAAAAGAAAAGAAGAAAAAAATATATATGGAAATAACGTGTATCATGTAAGATTGGAATTGACGTGTATCACGTGTAAGATTAGATATTTTTTATTTTGCTCAAGAAAAAAGAAAAAAAAAAAGAAAAAAGAGAAAAAAAAAAGAAAAGGAAGAAAAGAAACAGGAAAAAAGGAAGCAAAAAAATAAGAAAATAGAAAAGCTCTTCGACTGTAAAATCCAAATGACCGTAGAAATATTTTCCTCGGTCTCGTGCGATAGCAAAATGAGATAACGAGTTACGGTATCTTTGTACGACTATACCTACACGTTAAAACGATTTTCCAACGATTCAGAAGATTAGAGCCTTAGCACGATGCTCTTTCATCGAAACGCGGCGCTCACGACTTTGAATTTAATAAAGCGTCAACCATCGGCATTCTAACGGCGATCGATACACGGAGACGATCAATTTGGATTCTTATCGATCTTTCTGTTTCTATCTATCGATCCGTTGTAATGATCAATGCGGTAGAATGATGCGCACGATGTCCCGCAGGCCTATCGTTATTAAATTATATATATATATATATATATGTGTGTGCGTGTGTGTGTGTATGCGTATGTGTGTATGTGTGTATGTGTATGTTAGTAGACATACGAATAGATCAGCTGACTGAACTTAACTAAATCTAAATGATTCTCTTATCGAATAAGATCGTTCTACTTGAATGAATTCTTGGCAGTGTGTCAACGTCGTGCAATATTATTTCTTATTCCGGATCTATAGAGAATAGAATTGGCTATGATCCAAAATAAAGATAACAAAAAAAAAATCAAGAGAAAGAGAGAGAGAGAGAGAGAGAGAGACAGACAATGTCTATAATATGTCCATCGAAAAGTTTGAAGAATTTGGCGAGATGCCTGAACAATTTTCATTTCCTTTCTATTTCATTAGCATAGTAATACGATAGTTTGCACGCTTATCGTATCGTTCGAAAGTTTCCAAGATCAAGTAGGTGTAGTCGTAAACGTGTTAATATGTATGTATGTATGTATGTCGAGCATCGAATAATGACGGACACTTGAGTGAAAAGAGACTGTATAAAATCGATCCAAACTAGGACGGTGTAAGGAACACTGAAGTAATTATATCACTCAGAAAGAATGAAATATATGTATGAGTATATTATATACATACATACATATTATATACATACATATATATATATATATATATATATCTCACATACGATGATCATGAATCTTATCGAAACGATCGGCTCGATAGAAAAGTATAATGGCGACTCTATCGAGAGATAGAATTAGAAATGCGATCTTTGATAGGATTGAAAGTAGGAAGGTGTAAAGGTACATAAATGTAACTGTATATATCTACGTGTGTATCTGTCCATATATATATATATATATATATATATATATATATATATATATATCGCTTCCTGCCGTTCCGATAGATGAATTAAATCGGTCATAAGCAATTCTATGAATCTTGACTTGGCACAAGTATGAAATAAGGACAAATACAGCGATTGCTATTACCGGGCAAAAGGGACCGTGACAGGCGGGAGTTAGAGGGGCTGGAGGAAGGAGGAAGAGGAATAGAGAAAAGGGATAAAGAGAAATGAGGATGCTATTAGAGCCTCGTGAGAAATTCCAATGTGTGTACATACTGTTATTATATCTATGTATTTCAAATACTATCTTAATTATTTGAAAAATTTCGAATGTTTATTCAGAATTATTATATCCATCTATGTAAACATTTAAATATTATCTTACATGTACGTGTAAACCAATCGAATCTAATGGATTTTCTATTATTGCCACGATGCATACGTTCTCACGTATCTTACGATTAATATATGTATATTTTCTAATTTCACTTTACGATTGTGGCAATATCATTAGTATGATAAATATTTTGATTACAGTTCGGAACAGACGAAGGATGGATTGAGCCTTCTAATTCTTGGCGAATCTAACGAATGTTTGGATCTATTGGACAAAGCGTTGGTTCTATTACAAGTAAGATTTTTTCATCGAGAAAGTTATTAATCGATTGTTCTTATTAAATGTTCGTATTTAAGAAAGAAATGAAAAAAAAAAAAAAAAGAAAAAAGAATAAATCGTACAATGACATTCAACGTTTCGATTTTTGTTCGTTTGTTATTATTATTATTTTTATTTTTTGACGTTTTCAATTAATTAATCAATTAATTCTTTCACATTAATTCTATCTTAATTATAGGGAAGAATCAACGTGAGTCATGCTTTCGTTTTACGAAGTACCAATACAGAAAACTCAATGAACGACTCCATGTTACCTCTAAGTCGTGTTAAGGTAAGTCAAAAGAAACGATAAAAATCATTTAAAAAGTTTAAACGTACCTTTTATTTAATTGATATAATCTTTTTTCCTTTCTCTTTTTATTTCTTGTTCTTTGTTTCGTTCCCATTTCCGTTCATTCTTTTCTCTTTGACGATCTTTATTTCCAAAGTACGATATCAAAGTTTTCGTCGTCGATTTGTCGAGCAGTACAAATGCATGTACTCCATGTACATACTTTATTTACTACCACTTCATATTTGTCGTATAAAAACAATATTGGTACGACTATGTATTTGAATACAAGAATGTACTCTTTACTCGCTTCATCGACCTCCCGCCCTTTCACCTCCTTTATTTCTCATGAATGCACCCTTTGTTATCAGTATCGGTATACTCGAATCAATATTGTGTTACCGACAAAGGGATATTCAATTTTATTGAATGTTCTTTGATTCGTTGAAATGTCAATTTCTTTCAATTCCTATCCAAACGTATCCTGCCTATGCGTTCCCATGCCAATCGAAAATGATTTTCGATTTTATTCCTAAATATATATATAAATATTTTCCTTATTATTAGCATTATTATTATTATTATTATTATTATTATTATTATTATTATTAATTGACATGCATAATGTATAAATAAATTTCATTATTCTTTCAGACAATTGTAATAACAGACACGATTAACAATAAATTTATACAAAGAGAAAGGCGCGAGGTGAATTATGATCAAACGCAATGGATAACATTTTACAAGGTAATTTACATCATTGATTATGATTATATGTAAATATATAAATATTCTTGGATATTATCCCTTAATATATATTTTCTTTTCTTCTTTTTTTTCCTTATGTTTTATGATTCGGATTTTTCATTAATAAATAGAATAACTATATAACTATAGTTATTCAAGTATATCTTTTTTTTTTTTAACATTTAAGTATTCTTTCTTTTTTTTTTTTTTACAAAATTTCTGTCTCTCACACACACACACACACTCTTTCTCTCTTTCTCTCTTCCCCCTCGATGATGTGATACCTACTTTAAATCGTATTCATCATCGAGTATCAAATTGCTTAAACTGACGATGAGATGTTAGGCGGGGGAAGGACGGATTAAGTTAAAGAAAGAAAGGAAGAAAGAAAAAAAAAAAAGGAAAAAGAAATGAAGAGGAATCACGATCGATACTATTTATTCGCCATCATTCATCTTGGTAATTCGAAAGTCGCGACAAATTGCTATCAAAACTGCCGCTTCTGTCGGAACGGATGGTGAAAGATTGGTGTGTAGTACGTTTGCCGATTGACTTAAATGTCATTACAGTGATTCGGCAGCTTTTCGATGAAATAAATATACGAGGGCCGGATTCGAACGAGCGAACATAATTGTGCCGATTCGGCGGCCATTCGTATCTCTCTTGCCTCTTAAGCCGGAATCGCAATTATTTTTGGCGAATTTATGGCACGACCGATGGATACCACTGACCGATGGATACCACTGACCGATGGGTTTTATACTATTATTTCGACAGTGGCTCTCAATGCACTCGTTTGACAATTATTGCTTTATTTTTTTTTTTCTTTTTTATTTTTTTGTATTTTTTTTCTCTCGATTTAATTCACCCATAAAATTTGTTTGAAACCGAATCGATTGTTCCATCGTTAAAAAAAAAAACTTTTTACATCTCGTACGTTGTAATCTTTTTTTTTTTTTTTGTCCGACGACGACGATTTCGAAAAAATTTCATACTCCAATAGAAATTGTTGTGAAATTTTAATTAAACTTTTTCACGATGTGCTTTGTCTTTTTTTGTGATTAAAAAAACAAAATTCAATACAATGTAATTATATTGAATTATAGTCAATTATACTGAGAGTCTTTGATCGAATAAAATAAAAAAAGAAAAAAAAAAGAAAAAAGAAAAAACAAATAAGAAAAAAAAAAAACTCCAAAAAGAGGCTACAATTATATATCGATGGCGCTTCGCTTTATACTATTTCGCACGCGTGTGGAAAATTCTCGAGTGGAAAGTAAACCCTTATGGAGTTTTTTCCTCTAAGTTTTCTTTTTCTTTTCTTTTTTTTTTCTTTTTTTTTTTTTTGAAGAATCCAAAGAACGAGAGAATTTACTAGTATATGCACCCGCCGTACTCCGTGCCGACAGAACCGAGTATTTAACCTCGAAGGTTACGAGAAGGTACTTCTTCACCGTACGGATTATCGCGTAAGCGCTTTTACGGGTGCCCGGATCTTTTGTACCGCCGACAAAAGATGAGGAGAGTGAGAGTAAAGAGCCATGAGCAAGAGAAAGAGAGAGAGAGAGAGAGAGAGAGAGAGAGAGAGAGGGAAAGAGAGTTTTAACTCTCCTAACACTCTCAACGAGAAGCTATTTCTCAACACACAGATACATACATATATATACACACCCACACACACAAATACATCTTACTTCACAACTTACTTCATTGCGTTTCGTATCTTCTCATTATCGATTCGATCCCATCGATCCAACCTTACAATCTTCACCCTTAAAATCTTCTACCTTTCTCTCCTCCTATTCCCTTCTCCCCTATTCCCTATACTCCTCCTCAATTTTATTAAAATTCATTTCCATTTTTGAATTTCGTAATCTAATCATTATTACAATCTTCATTAATGTTCAATGTTTTAATAATCATCGTCGGAATATTTGAACAAGATCAAGGTCTCGTATAATTGTTGACCTCGAGAGACCAATCATTCAGATTGAACCGAAGTTATATCAAGATGATGATAGCCCAGGGCAATGATTGATCGTCGTAATGTAACGTAAGTCCGTCCGTCCGTCCGTCCATCCGATCAATCGATCGATCGATCGATCGGTCTATCGAACGATCGATCGAACGATCGATCAATCCGGCAAATAATTTTACGGAATAAGACATCAATCGAAAGAACATGTAAAAGGATTCAATCGGTTCTCCTTCCTGTTCGTAGGTGTTCCCCTTCATTTCTCTAAACTCATTGGCTAGTCAAAACTTCGTTATCTTATCTTTTTTACGTTTATGCCGATTGCGTTCCTGTTCTTAGATATATCTTCGTTTTATTACGCTTAGTCATCATACCTTCACGATCTTTTATGACTTTTATAGCTCAGACAAACGATTAATATAGTAAGTAGAATAACGTTTGACGTAATCGTTCGCGGATAGGTATATATATATATATTTTTTTTTTTTTCTATCTAATAAATATCCTATTACACGTTCGAGGAATTAAAGGTAAATTAAATAAACATTTTCATAAATTCCATATAGATGAATAAAACTCTACGAACTATTAAATAAAATTCAATATGAATGAATTCATCGATCTAAATCGTTTGAACTAAATACCAATGTGATGTGTCAATTAATATCGCATAGATTTATTAAATTATTACTCTTCTGTTTTATAATACTGTATAATTGAACGGATAAATGCGTTTACTTCTGTTTATGACGTGGATAAATTATAATCGAGTAGTTTGTAAAAATGTTTTTCTTTTTTTTTTTTTTGTTCTTCTTTTTTTCTTTTTAACGATTTTCTTAAAAATACGTATGCCTTTTTAGATTTTAATATACTTAAGGTGGATTGAAGATAATTTAATAAAATTTATACTTTGATAAATGGACGTTTTAAAAACCAAAAAATAATAATAATATTTATATTTAATTGTATATATGTATGTTTACGCGCGTGTGTATGCGTTTGTGTGTGTGTGTGTGCGATATAGTCAGATTTCCTGCTTTTAAATATTTTATATTGAATATTATATTTTATATAATAGAAATAGTATTATCTTACTTACTAGAGATTAATTAACCCACTATAACTCAAGTTTCTAACTACGTATTTAAAAAAAGAAAAAAAGAGAAAAGTTATATAACGTGAAACTTAAAGCGTAATTTATGCTAGTATAATTATATCGTACTAAGTATACGTAACTTATATTTAGAAAATATTACCTATCGGTATATAAAATAACCTGTTATAGTTTTGTGACGATAAAATAAGTTTACATTGAAAAGAAAAAAAAATAGAGATATATTATAATAGATGAGCGTAATTAAACAATTCCATGTAAGATCAATCATGATAAAAATTTCTTGTAGATTTAACTCTTGTAAAAAATTATTTTTAATCATTTTTAATTGGGATAATTATATATACATATATATACACATATACATGTATATAAATATTTAATATGTAATTTAAAAATTACATGAGTTTATAGATTCTATAAAGCTTTAATAATAATGCAAATTTTCCATTCGATAAATTCACACGTATATTTAAAATTCACAATTCTAATATCATGAAATATCTATAACATTTTTTATTTCATTCTAATATAAAATAAATTCTCTTTATTATCGTCATATTCTAATAAATATTTTTTTTAAGCGTAGAATTAATTTTCTTCGATTCAATCATTGCACCCGAGATTATACTTACACATAAGTATTTTCATTTAAATAGTTATTGATCTAATAAATAATAAAAATCTTAAATTTAATAACTTAAAGCGAATTAAATAATAAACGTATTTAAAAGAATATTAATCTTAAATGTTTAATTATGAGCAAAAAACATTTCGTTACGTATCGTTTCAAATAATTAAATAGAAAATATAAATTTTCAATTTAATTGATATCCTTTCGTTTTTGTCCATTAGGAATATGATGGGCTAATGAGCGAATGGCATGCAGCTGGACGAAGATTAGCGCTCGAAATGTCAGAGTTAAAGGAATGCACGAGTTTGTCTGGCACCTTGACGCCTCTCGGTCGGCTCCTAACGGACCCAACATTGAGAAGAACGTCCAGGGATGCTGAAGTAGCCATTGCGGCTTTGGAGGAGCGGGCTACGTCACTTTTACACGTCGATTACGTCAAGTGAGCTTTTCAAATTCATTTCAAATTTCATTAACACAATTTTATTTTCATCGATTCAATGTTAAAATTACAATCCTTTTTTTATCTCTCAAATTTTTCTTCTCTCTCACTTCTCTCTCTCTCTCTCTTTCTCCTTTCAGTCTAACATAGAAAGTCGTAAATACTATCAGAAAGCCGGAAGTTGATACGTTGATTAGTCACGCTTAGTTTTACCTTTATATATATGTATATATATATATATTTTCTATGATCATATACTTATTTATAAACACCCTAAGTAACGTGACATTAGTGAGATTAAAAGTTCAACTTCCGTGTATACTTGTTAAATGGTTGCAAGTATTAAAAAAAAAGAGAAAAAAAGAAAAAAACCAAAATAATAAATAAATAAATAAATAAATAAATAAATAAATAAATAAATAAATAAAAGAGAGATAAAAAGAGAAATAAAAATGATTATTATTATTTATCAAGAGAATTTTCTATACATTTTTTTTTGTATTTTATTATTATTATTTTTTTTTGTTTTTCTTTTCATTCCGACAGATCATCTCTACAACGAGCAAGAAGATTGATGGAGGAAGTCGGTAACGCGGCAACGAGATTGGAGTCATCCTTTGAATCACGTCGAGCAACTATACGCAATCTTGCTGTACTCCGTAGTATCGAGGATCAGGCACACGAGGTAAGTTCCCTTTCGTTCGATATTAAATTCAAACGTTTAAGGGTTTATAGAGCTAAGCTCTATATCGCGTGCCCTTGAAGGACGAAGTATTTCTTTTTCTTCTATTTTCTTTTTTTTTTCTCTTTTCTTTTTTTTATTCTCTTTTAATCTTTTTTTTTACGGGACAATCGTCAAGTCTTCCTTTCGATCCCCTCCTCCTCCTCCTCCTCCTTCTCCTCCTCCTCCTTCTCCTCCTCTTCTTCTTACTAGAAATAACTTCAGCTTCCGATTGCTTTCACAATGATACATAAAAAATAGTGAGAAAGATTTTCACTTCGTGAAAAATCATAGATCCGAATGCATCTCCTCGAGGAGAAGGAGGAATAAAAGGAGAAGAAGGAGAAGAAGAAGAAGGGGATGATAAGGTGGGGGAGGGAGGGGGGAAGAAAAGGGTACTTGGTGGACCCACCCCAAGGTTTTGATCTCTGTTCCGATCTCTTAGTGAATTCTGCGCACGACACGAAAGATCGATAGGATCGCGAGAGACCTCGCTTTTCCTGAGAGCCCATATTCCGTGTGACTATACGAGAGATCGGTAACCTCGTTTCTGGCATCTTCAAGTCGACCTCAAGATGATGATTCGACCTCCTTTGCCAAAGGAGTCACTCGATTCCCTTCTACTATGTAGACACGTCGATCTTCTCTTTCGTCGAGCTTATTATTCTTTTCTTTCTCTCTCTCTCTCTCTCTCTTTTTCTTCTTCTTTCTTTCCCCCTCTCCCTTTACTTCTTCGTCCTTCTTCGTCCTTCTTCTTCCTTCTTTCTTCTTCTTCCGTCTTCTTTCTTCTTATTCTTTTTTTTTTCTCTTCTTCCTTCTTTCTTCTTCTTCCTGTCTATCCATCTTTCTTTACCATCGTCATATCTCCCTTCTTGACGTTCAACGTTGGTGGCCGGCTACTACCACCGGCGATAATTCCGTTCAGTTCTTCCATCTACTTAGCCTTAAGCAAATACGTGTTAATGCATTTTCCTGGTATTGGATCTATAAAAATCGCGATAATATATTTGTAAGATCTCTTTCGATAAATTCGTTTCGTTTGTTTCCTTCCTTTCTTCCTTTCTTTCTTTCTGTTTTTTTTTTATTTTTGCTTCTTTCTTTCTTTCTGTTTTTTTTTTTTTTTTTTTTTTTTCATTTCTTCTTCCTTTCTTTTTCAAGTACGACCAAAAAATAATACGTTCGTAAGTACGTTCTGTTTAATTTCGTTAATATTTAATCAACCATCGTGAGATTTAAATGGAATTTTTATTATTTCTAATGTTCGCGTTAAATCCCTTCGTAAAACTCGAATTTTTCTTAATTACGAGCAAATGAATTTGTTTAAAATATTTACCTTATGGTATATAATAATTTCGTTTTAATATAATTATATCAGATTTTCGTTCGAAAGGTTCTGTATTATATTCTTTTTTTTTTCTTTTTTGCTTTTCTTTTTTCTTTTCTTTTTTTTTTTTTGTTTTTTTTTCTTTTTACGTAAATCAAGAAATCAAGATAATAAATTTCTATATTATTTATTAATATAACATTTCAATTTAATGGAAACTTCTTTTGAATTACATTTCGACGACACTCGATTTATTTACCGACACATTATATATTTATTATATCTATTATTATATTATATTTTTATAATTGCTGTCTTTCTCTTTTTTCTTTTTCTTTTTTTTTTCTGTCCCTTCTTTCTCTCTCAAAACGATCATTACGATATTTTATCTCGATTCCTCAATCGCCATTTCTGTATTATGTAAATTCGAAATAATTTTATGGTTCCACGTAGAAACGCATTTTTGTTTTTCTTTCTGTTTTTTTGTTTTCTTTTTGTTTTAATAATTTTTTCACTATGTCCTTTATACTTGCTCAAATATCTAAAGGAACATATCTTTCTCTTTCTCTTTTCTCTTTCTCTCTTCTCTCTCTCTCTCTCTCTCTCTCTCTCTCTCTCTCTCTCTCTCCCTTTCTCTCTCTCCACGTACAAATGTATAGTTACGTGTCTTAAGTACTTATCCTTACGCGGTATAATTTGCTCTTAACGATCCTTTCGCACGAGCCTAGAATTAAATTCAAAGTAAGTACATGCATATACGCTCTTCTTACGAATTCGACTCGGTCGTCATAGCCTTCGCGAGATTTAACTCTGTTTTGCTCGTTGATCGTTTTATAATTATTAATAAAACATATTTGAATTACAGAGTACGCAAGATTACGAGTAAAACGGACGAATCGTTTTTGTAGATATAATAACCAGGTATTTTAATGATTTTCTTTCTGTTCTTTTTTCTTGTTCCTTTTCTTCTGTTTTTTTTTTCTTTTTTTTTCTTTTTTTTTTTGTTCGTTTTTTTTTCTTCCCCCCTTTAATTAACGCAAGATCGAAAAACTATGCGGGGAAACGTTTAAGTAGCAATTTTTCTTTTTCTTTTTTTTTTTCTTTTTTTTCTTTTTTTCTTTTTTTTTTCTGATTAGAAAGATGATCAATAACGAGGAGGTATAGAGAAAATCAAAATGATCGATAATTTGATCCATTTCTTTGTAAATAATCGAATGATGTTTTTTTTTTTTTTTTTTTTTTTTTTTTTTATTGAAATGAATTGAAATCAATGATCTCATTGAAACAATAAATGATATTATATTTATATCAACATAAAAATGATTATAATATTAGCAACGTGTAAATAGACAATTAACATCTATATATCTATATATAATTATATATGTATATAATAAATGAGATAATTCAATTCTCTTTAATAAATGATAAATGATAGAGATTATTTTTATCTGATAATAAGTAGTATAAGATATATAGGTTTCTAATCATCGATACGATCCCATTATTGATTTATGGGAATATGTGAATGAAGTTTCTCCATTTATAGTCACTCATGTTAATTATAATTTAATCAGCTGATTAATTTACAGATCAATTGATAAAATCGTATTTTTATAATACATGATAGACTATCGTATAATACGGATTAATATAATATTAATTCATATTACTGTGACAAAGTATAATGCTCGTGTAACATAGTATAAAATATTATACTTTAAATCGATCATCCTAAATATCCATCATGAGTATTTATTTGATTAAAAGAAAAATCAAAAAGTCTGTCAAATAATTTTTTTGCTTTTTAAATATATATATATATATATATATATATATATATATATATATATATATATTATTAACAGATAATTTTTAATTTTTGTTTGAGAAAGTTTTGTTTTGTTGTTAAAGATTGTTTTTCTTTTTTTCTCTTTACTAATCTTTGCCTTAGGACAAATTTATCTCTTTCCTTTTTTTTTCCTCCTTTTAATCGTGACTTTTGCCGTAGAGAAAAAAATATAAATATATATTCTTCGATTGGAAATTGATAAATTTTTTTTTAAAAAATCATAAATCATAAAATCCTTTTTATACATACCTATGTATCACTAAATACATACAGACGTAATCTGTATTTCTTATGTGACTGATGTAACACACCATGGATTGATTCACGTAATACAGAAAGTTACCGTCGTGTTACAACGTAGGTGTCTATTATATCTAATTTCCTTTCTTTAATAATAATTCTTTTATACGACCAAAAAAAAAAAAAAGAAAAGAAAAAAAAGTAAGAAAGAAAAAAAGAAAAAGGAAAAAGAAAACAAATTCTTTTAGTTCGTGAAGATTAAGAAACTTCGTTTCATAAGCAAGATTATTGTTGAATCGTAGTTACGATGAACGAGAATGGATCCGGACGCCATTCTCGTACGATTTTCTTGCGTACGGTCGTTAAATATAAACGATTGTGAGTCGGCTACTTGCAAGCACAAAGCATTCCATGATAATTAGATACGAGATGCGTTTCATCTCTCGAAACGCATTTACGTACGTAAACACAAATACATCTACAATTTATCCGTCACATTATATTGCCGATTGACTTTCACTTTGCTTAGTCTATTACTTAATTATGATTTCGATTGGTCAAATAATGATCGTAAATTCTTCAAAGGATTTCAATCGTAAAAAGTAAAAAAATAATTAAATACTTTTGTTTATATAAGTTGTTGCTTCCGTTCATTGTATTTATTTTTTTCATCGGATTATTACTCGAATTAGTTACCGTAGTTATATATATATATATACAATATTTATTTCGTTTTAACAACAAGTAGTATGTTAATACGAATTTATTCATTCAAAATGATTTATTCATTCAAAATGATATATATGTATATATACGACGTGTTAATTCGATGTTTCATCGTCTAAATATATTTATCATAGTAAGCAATTATATATCGATATTTACATCGAAAGTCGCTTTAAAGTTGCTTTTTTCATTTCGAACAGTGGATTGCGTTGTTACGATAACGAATTAAATTAAAGAGAAGGGATGAAAGAGATTGGTGAGAGAGGAGACACGTTCTAAGGAGAAGCAAAGTGGGTCGGTCGACCTCGACAATTATTTAATTGTTCGAACTGAAACACTCCAGGCATATTTCGCTTTCACGTGTGTACTTCTCGAAGAGAGAGTAAACATCGACGAACGAATTATATTACAAAGTGCTCCTTATAATCGAAGATGCATCGCCACGAATCTTACCGAATCAAATTTCATTGTCGACGATCGGGAAAGTAACTAAGAAGAAACACAAGCAACTAGAAATAAAAAAGAAAGAAAGAAAGAAAGAAAGAAAGAGTGAAAGAACAACAACAACAATAAAAAAAAAAACAAATCGAATGCATTCAATGTTCTTGCGAAAAAAGAAGTACGTGACATCGCTTTCGAAAAAAAAAAATTTAACTATTAATTACTTCCTAAATATCTATTAATTTAACGAAATTAATATTATTATTATTATCTTATTATAACTTCCATTCAAAATTGATCTTAACTTTTAAATTTTTTCTTTAAGTAATTTATTATGTTATAAAAAAAAAAAAAAAAAAAAAAAAAGAAGGAAAAAAAATA